TGATTCAAAAACCAGCAAAAGACCTGAACCAGACATTCCTCCACAGAAGATACACGAACGGCCCATAAGCACACGGGAAGGTGCCCAACATCCCCGACCATCGGGGAGACGCAGGTGGAACCGCAGCCAGACACCACCTCGTGCCCCTCAGGACAGCTGTCATCGACACCAAACACGTGCTGACGAGGATGCAGAGGGACCGGAGCCCCATGCACCGTCAGTGGGAATGTAAAACGGAGCAGCCACCTTGCAAAAACAGTGTGGAAGTTCCTCAAAAAATAAAAAGAGAACTCTCAGCAACCCCATTTCTGGGTAAGTCTCTGAAAGAATGAAGCAGGGTCGCAAAGATACTCGTACAGCCACCTGCAGAGCAGCCTCCGTGACAACAGCTCAAACCCACGTGTCCACGGACAGATGAAAGGGTAAACAAAAATGGTCCAGCCACACAGGGGAATACGACTCGGCCTTGAGAAGGAAGGGCCCACAGCATGGGCGATCCCTGAGGACGTTACGCTATGCAACATAGGCCGGTCATAAAAAGACACATACAGTATGATTCCACTTACATGAGGTACTTGGAGCACCCATAAGCACAGAAACGAGAGCAGAAATGGCTGCCAAGGGCTGGGGCGGGGAAGGGCGAGGTATGGTTTCTCTGGTAAGTTTCGGATTGCCAAGCTGTGGGGATGGGCAGTGGTAATGGCTGCAGAGCAGTGTGAATGTATTACCACCACTGCAGTGCACACACAGAAATGGTTAAGACGGTAAAGCTTTTGTTATGCATACTCTAAATATAAACAACCGGAAAAAATTGAAATGAGCTATCGAGCCACAAGAAGACACACAGGAACCGCAAACACACACCGCTCAGTGAGAGAAGCCATCCGGGGAAGCTGCGCGCACTAGTCCGCAGAAGCCGCGCGGCCCAGCGACAGGACACGGGGAGAAGGCAGTGCTGCCAGGCTTGGGCGGGGCTTGGGCGGAAAGGGACGAAAGGGCGGGGCGCGG